GTTTTCTCCAGCAATGTCCACAGGTGAAAGAAAAACAAACTGTATTGCCCAGGTATTACTGAAAGCTTGAAACAACGTGACGGCTGGTCGCACTGTAACGTCTGCCACTGTACCGTGCTCATTAAACTGGCGCAGAACGCAGTATCGATTTTAAGTCCAGTACTATTCAAGTGAATGAGTTTGCTTTTTTGAAAATCACTGCGTTCGAATGGAGAGCAAGGTCAACCGTCAATTCGCACTATTGACCGAACGAGGGGGTCGCCTTTCCGATTTTAGGAAATGGGGGGGGGTCGCATTTTGAGATCGCGCAAGACTAACTACCTCTGAGAAAGTGTGAGCAATGGTTGACGGAGGTTGTGGGAGGGGTTGCATTTGACGGGATTTGTAGACGAGTTTGGCGAAAGTCTCGTGAAAGTAGGGGGTGAAGTAGACAAAATTAGTGTAGGAGATAGTAGGCGAAGTAGGATATGTTGACTGCTCTCACAATCAGAAACAAATACCACAGAATAGAAGCAGTAACGATTATGATGGTTAGGGTGACGGTCGAGGTAGTTATGAGGGGTCGCAACGAAACTCCTTAAGAGGGGGACATGCAAAATTTTTGTAAAAGTGCGAACGCGACGGTTGACCCTAATAGAGGGGCGCTCTCGATGTTCTTGGAGCTGTAATGCTGGTTACGTTGATGCCTTTCTCGATCACAATTTTATAATACATTGCTGCCGTAATAGACAGCAATAACGCGGCTAATAGAATCTTTGGTCTCACAAGGGAGGTCTTTCAGGGCAAGCCGCGCTTTTTGGAAACGGTTTCTTGCATATTGTAGGGACGCATGTATGGACCACAAAACCATGTTTCGTTTTCGCTGAACGGTTTTAGTAGTATCAAAAAAGTGGTGAATGATACCCTTGATGGTTCGATCCCCCGCGGCGACTAAATTTTGCAATCAAGGTTGGCGGCCACTTGTTGGCTTCAAAATGGTCCTGACGATGAATATGACATCTGATTTTGACATTTAGCGCGATTTGGCACCAAACCGTAGGCGCCAACCCAAATGCAAAATTTAGTCGCCACGGGGGATCGAACCATAACAGTACTTTTTTTTGGTACTGCTAAAACCGTTCAGCGAAAATGAAACATGGTTTTGTGTTCCCTACATGCGTCCCTACAATATGCAAGAAACCGTTTTGAAAAAGCGTGGCTTGCCCTGAAAGACCTCCCTTGTCAGAGAGTGAAAGGGGCTTCATGAAATAGCGTTGAACTCAACTTATTAGGTCACAAAAACATCGTTTGTGTTTGCATGAGTAAGAAGGGTGGGATGTGCAGACCTTCGCCACTACTGAATGTCAACCGGGGTGAAAATCGGACGAGGAAACCTCGACAGGGGGGTCGTATTTGTCGGGATGGCTCATGGGGGTCGTACTCGTGGGGGTCAGTAACAGCACATCAGTGGTATCATGGTGCAGATAGGAGTAAGAGGGTGTAGCGCAGCAGAAAACGAGGATATGTGAAAACATGATATAAAATAAAATATTCTTTGCAGGTTCAGTCGCTCCATTCCTCCACCTTTATGAGAAGGACGTATTTGAAGGCAGTACAAAGAATGAAAGTGCATCCCCGCAAAGAAGAGTGCCACATGTGCGCACGCGCTGCAAAGGCACCTCCTCTGCCTATCGCTCGCTCCTTCTCCCTTAATACCTCGCTGAGAATGACACTGTTGTTAGGGACCTGTCGCAAAAACGACAACCGTGAAGGAAAGGCCCTGGGCAAATGAAGCTGTTCCTTAGGTTATAGGAGTTACGAAAATGTGTTTACTACAATGCAGCTTCTGTCAACTGGTCATCATCATAACACCTTTCAATCGATTCTGCAACTTTGAGTGGAGGTCGGATGCATGGCCTATACTGAGACGATCAGACGATGACGATTACCGCTTTTCTTATCGCTCACGTTGGGAAAATGTAGTCTAGACACATAAGAGTTGCCAACGAGTTAACTTGCAACGGTGAAGAAGGTTACGGTTTTTTAACACGTTGACGACAACGCGAGTTTTGGCACTTTTGGCCACGTGGGACCACGGCGTTTTTGCGAGCGCCGCCGCCTCAGGTTGTTCAAGCAAATTTTGAGTGATAAAAACATAAATAATGATCAATACAAGGCCAGATCAATATATTGTAATGAGCACAACCTACTCGGAGGTACAGTAGCGGAATTTCTATTGCGTAATAACTTGGAATAACCAACGAAACTATTCAGTGCACTTAACTCGCTTGTAAAAAGTGATATTCTTTAGAACAAGCTGCAATAAACTTCAAAGGCAATTTTGAGTTGATTAAATCAAAACACATATATTGTCATCTCTAAGGTACCGTATCTACTTCTACTACTATTTAAACCTTCACATTCATAGGAAGAAAAAGTAAACGAAAAATTTATTAGGCTGAAGATTTCGTATGGTTCAGAAATCCTCCTCTAAATTGAAGCATACGTGACCATTCTATGGACCACTATGTTTTTAGCTAGGTCAAGGTCTCCTCCATTCAATAATTACAAGAAACTTCTAGAAGAACCAGGCGTGCGCGAAAAAAATTAGTGTAATGGGTGCGGGGGATATATCCCCCGCACGGTCCGACACGGCCTGCAATGCGCGGGATATATATCCCCCGCGTTGTCGTCAATGTGTTAAGGTGACCGAAATCCGTCCTCGATAGACCCTCGACGCAAATATCTTCTCAATTAAGGAATTTGGATGAAGTCAAACAGCTTTTTAAAAAGCGCAAACCTCGCCTTTCAAAACCGTTTTCATTTTTTCAAGATCTAACGGAATTAGAGAAATACTGCCTTCCGAAGGACGAATTCACGATAAGGACGAAGGTCGAAGAAGGGGAAAATACCCTAGTTGGGATACAGACGATCTCCTGAGCGTGCTGACCAACGAAGGAGCGGAGGATTTGACCTCGGCGCTTCAGCATAGCTGAATCTTGGCGCCCTTGGCCTCTGTACGCGCACTGGCCATCTAATCATTCGCCGCAGGTATGCCTGGCGAGTGATTAGATAGCAGAGAGAGCGTAGTGTTGGAGAGGGCACAAAGATGAGGTCGCATCAATGCGCAAATCAGCGGGCGAGGAATGGGTCCCATTTCTCGGATTCTGGGCCATTTTCCTCAGCTTTTTCTTCTTTCGCGCATCAGTGACCGTCTCTAATTTAATTTGAGATGGGTTGCTTTTTTAGCGTTAATTTGCCCTTTAAGTGACAAAAAATTCGGCGTCATGATTCTTTTCTTTTACTCGACAAATTCGAGACATCTCTCTCAAAGGGTAAGCCTCTCAGAACAATTTTTTCAATACTGCCTGGTAGGCAGCAAATCTAGCTCTATCTAGTACCCTACCACATACTGCTCCAAAGTTGAAATGGTGGGAATGAAACCTTTTCATTGAGGGTGTAGATTTCGAGGGTTTCGAGCGGCTTTTCAACAAATCTGACCCAGGGATAAACAGCGGTGCGACTGCATACTTCAAAGTACATATAACGCAACCCGTTTTATTCATATCAGATCACGGCTAGAGAGTTGTATCATGACCTCGATTTTAGAGGGGGGGTCATACTCATGTGACCACGTCCTCGAATCGACTTTCACCCTACTGTGAACTGTTGCGTTGGAGAGTTTTCGGAGTAGTGAGGGGCCAACTTACTTGCTCGCCAAAGGCACAAAGAGAATAAATAATGGTAGCTATATCCAAATAATGATAGCTATATTCTATTACACCTTTTGCATGTCCCGGGTTCTGCGCAGCCCTGCTCTTCATTGCCCTCGACCAGTACAGAGTCGCTCTCTGCGCCGCTGGTCCCTGCCTTTACGACCCTTCGCTTACTTGCATGCGGAAAACGATCTTTGAGTTGGGAATTTCGCAACATAGAATTGACCTTACGACAGAGCGTTAATCATTGAAGAAGTTCTCCTGCCGCTCATTACTTGAAGAATACAGAATCTTTCTATGATTTCGAACTCCTCAAGAAGGAATCAGAAGATCATCTCATCGCCCTGATAAATGAATGATGACATTTTTGGAGATGATCATTATATAGCAGTCCACCAAAAATGGCAGTGCAGAAACTCTCACTATCTTCCGATGATTCGGAAAAAGCTTGGATGCTCTAATAAGTAAGCAAAACCACTTTCCTTGTTTTTTCTTGCGCTGGTCCCGCACTGTAACAGGGTCAGCATTTCGTTGTACGGGAACCGCCGGTTGCTCTCAACTTTGCTGGTCCGAAATATACATTACAAACTCCGCATGATACTGTGTGGACAGCTTCCTCCAATGTGAAAACAAGATCAGATACGAAGCCGGCTCATCGAGGTAGTGTGCTGGAGAATATGGCGAACTTAGAAGCGATCCGAGGTGACGTCCCGCCAGCAAAAGAGAATTGTGCTCACCTTGGCCCGGAACGCTTCCGAGCAAGTGAAGCAAATGAGGGACAGTCTGGCGTATCACAAGACTTCCTTGCTGCAACCACAATGCAAAAATTGGATTGAAGAAGACTTAAAAGAATCACTTCATTTTTGTGGCGCATGGATCTGAAGTCGAATATCAGAAACATCATTTGTAGCCTGCTACTTTAATCCGTATTACGCATTCAGAAACTCTAGAAGTATAGAGGTAACAGCACTGGCCGTACCGGCGATAAATGCACGCAGTTACTTTGTCATTCACATTTGTTCCGTCGAGGAGAGTAATCCTAAGCAGGATCATTCCAGGATAAGGCAGGGAACTTACATCCTCGTCAGAAATGAGAAACTTCTCCATGAAGATCTTTCAGTTTGAACGTTTTGACCACCCGCATTCGAATTTAGCATGACCTGGATTTACCAGAGACCCAATCGCTCCACTTCCTTCCGACGCCCCAATTAACCGAGGTCAAATTGTGATACACAAACACAAACAAAAAATGAGAACGGAACGCTTGACTATAAAAGTGCTGGAAGACCGTTCAATGACAGGACCATGTTTGAAGAGAAACTTCTCATCGGTGTGGCTTCGGCCTTTTCCACCCTCGCCATCGCCGCTTGCCTGATAGTAGTTCCGTCTCTCTACAACACCATCAATGAGATGCACGACGCGGTCCTCGATGGAGTTACTGTGTTTCGCGCCGAAACCGATGCCGCTTGGAGTCAAATGATGGACTTCCAAGTGACCGTTGCTCCTCCAGCAAAACCTCGCGAAAATCCTTTCAAATCCATCTTCCGTAGCAAGAGACAGGCTGGTCTACCCTCCTTCTGCCAGTGCACTCCTCCTAGAGTGACTTGCCCACCTGGACCTCCTGGACCACCTGGACGACCCGGAGCACCAGGTTTGATCACACTTCACAATTATATCACTAGATTCGAAATACAGTTCTGCAATTTCAGGGCAGCCAGGAGCACCCGGACAGCCCGGCAATGATGCAACTACAACCTATGCTCCAATCAATTGCCCAGGCCGTAGCACGGCTTGCGTCCAGTGCCCAGCTGGTCCTCGAGGAGCACCAGGGCCTAGTGGAGCTCCAGGAAACAGGGGACCTAATGGGCAGCCTGGACGTCCCGGAGGACCCGGTAATGCTGGCCGTCCAGGTCCCGCTGGACCTCCTGGAGACGCTGGAGCACCAGGAAGACCTGGATCCGCAGGTCAGCCTGGACCAGCCGGGAGACCTGGCACAACTGGAAGAGGTACGCCAGGAAGACCAGGACCAGCAGGAGGTATCGGAGCTCCTGGAAGGGCTGGAGGTCCTGGAAGAGCTGGATCTCCAGGAAACGCTGGTCGCCCTGGACCTGCTGGGCAGCCTGGAGGACGTGGGCAGCCCGGAAGAGACGGTCGTCCCGGAAACCGTGGAAACCCAGCACGTCCAGGAGGTGACGCCGCTTACTGCCCATGTCCACCCAGCTATAATCGCCGTGTTCGTGTCTAATCTTCGCTACACTAATAAATCTTGACTTGACTCATTGAGACTTGTGTTCTAGATGGTGGAATCGTCAAAATTCGTTCACAATAGCGTGATGTTCCAAGTTAAGAACAGCTTCCTTCTGATGCTCCTGAACCATTCTAGGGAACTGTAAATGCACGTGGTTCATGAGGTCGCAGCGGAGTAACTGCGAATTTGATGCGAATTATCAAAACCTCATATTCATTATTTCGACTCAGATTCATTCCAAACAATTATATCCGCAATTATCCACAACGCTTCCCTAAGTACATGTTTCTATGTGTTGGTGACTATAGTATTTATCATCCTTCTATTAGGTCTTCCTCTAGGTAGTGTCGTTGTTTTCGAACAGAAAATTTCCTTTGAATCCCCAAGATATTATACTATGTCACATTCCTCTCCCACATTTTTTGCAGGGTTTTCAAACTTTAAGCCTGCGAAATGGGAGGTTCCAGTTCGACGAAAAACAGCCAAACCGACAACTAGCCCTAACTTTATGTTCCCCCAGGAGAATCAATCAATGATGTACCCTCTACTTAGTCATGACCTCTTCTGAACATTTCACTATTAGGCTTCCCAAAAAGTCGCGTCGCTCTTCCTAAAGGCTTGCTTTTCAACAACTTTTTTCACAACTGACAATGAAAAGCTAGTGGAACTAACAAGAACAAGTCATGACTAAGTTAGGAATGTGTGCCTGGTTGATTTTCTTATCCTTCGGGGAAATTTTTTTTCAAAGTAATGTGGTCACTTTCGTGGACAAAGCACCTTATCAAACAGGCCTAAAATTCCACCTAATTTGCAACGGGGTTTTGCCAAATCTGATAGGCGGAGCGTAAAAACGAATCCGAAACCTGCATCCGTAGGTATGCTCCCATTCAAAAGCCAGAAAGTGTCGGGTGCAGACCATACACCACAAGTGACGACGGCCTCCAGAAAATGCAAAATTTTCTGCCAATGAAATGATTAGCCTGTTGCAGTTGTATTCTATCATTGTCACTAATTACAACTATCATTTACCAAAAATCAGCTATCACTATGAACCACTACTAACCAGATTTACTTGGAGGCCGTCGTCAGTTGTGGTGTTTGGTCTGCACCCGACACTTTCTAGCTTCTTGAAGGGGAGGTCACGCTCCACCTATCAGATTTGTGACACGGCACTTTGTGACCTTCCATCACAAGAGGTAGTCGATGTCACTATGTTGCACAGCAACTTTCATCAATTAGAAGCCACAACTTGAGCAGTTGGCAGCAAGATCACGCATCTGCGAGCAGTATCTATACTTGTCAACTGGGGCACTATCACCCAATCTCCATAGTCATATTCTTGGTGATAACGTGGCCAGATAGAGTTCAGACTCAAATTCAGCTTAGGGTTAGCATTCCAAACTCTCTTCTGCTTCTGTACTGCATCCATTCACTAAGCCCGATCCCCATTGGCTCGATCGAGCAAAAGAAGGTGAGAAATAGACAAATTCACCACAAGGTCATACACCTGTTGGACTCTCACGAGGTAACGCATGGAACTTCGCCTCATTAACCTATGAATCGTCGATCTTAGTTGTAATTTGGTGGCAAAATTGAATAACTTAAGCTTCGGCAACTGTCCTCTCAAATCAATAAAAGTATGTCACGCAACCAGAACCACACGTGCAAAAGATACGCTATACTACATTCCATATACGAAGTTGAATAGCTTATCCCGCGAAACCAGTGACTGAAAACCAGGGCACCTGCTCCACCCTTGATAAAATTTGCGCGGATAGCTGTTGCCAGTATGCTTTGCTGATATCCAGCGGTGTCTGTTGGAAGCAGCTCATCCGACGCGACATCTATCGAATGCGGCTGTTGACGCCGCCACAACCTTACCCCGACTCTAGATATATACTGTGGATATTAAAGCTTGGCGAAAAAGTCCTATCAGAATCACCGCGCAGCGGAGGTCAGCCTCTTCCAGAAGACATTTGCCCTTTTTGCTAAGCAATCATTTTGCGGGCAAAAAATACGTTTCCAGCAAATCCTCGGAATCTGCCTTTAGTTCAGCTCGTTAATCTAAAGATTTTCTGGGAGCTGAGCGCAACCTTCGTGGGCGTAGGAACAAGTCACTGGTAGTTGTGGTGCATGTATTAACGATACATAGTGCCTGTATTTGAAATAAAGTAGAGTCAAAAAGAAGTTGAAAATAGGCATGAAATTTCGAGACAACCTAATATGTATCTATTAGTTGGAAGAAGAATCACATTCATCAAAGAGATACCAGAGGAAAAATTTGATTGATTTCTTGCACACAAATAAAAATGAATTGGTCGAAATGGGACGGCAGCAAAGAAAAAAGGAAAAGAGTCCGTCGAAGACGCTCAGGCTGAGGTATAATCACCTTCGAAATTGCCTGTGCTAACCACAAGGCAATGCGATCCGACTAAGTCTTATTGCAGGCCTTGAAGCAGCGCCACAGGTTAAACCTATGTTATATGTTTGAACAAGAACTTACGAGAGGGGGGGGGAGTCGTACTTGGTTCAAGTTTTGTTTATTTTTTTCTCGATTAACATGAGTTTGAAGGAAGATATGATCGTTTAAAGGTTGAAAAGTTTCGATTCCGGAAAAATATAATAGTCCAGAAAACTCCCAAAAAAGTCCCAACGTGCTAAATTTTTATTGAATTAACTTTGGAAGAAAATTCAGACACGATTGGACTTCATGGGCAATTTGATACGATCCCCCCTCCTCTGAGACCCAAAAAACCGATAGGTGTAATAATAGGTGCAATAATATGAAAACTAGAGGTAGCGTTTTGAATATGTTGAATCGCGCCCTGGCGATGGAGCGCGTTTGCTGATCGGAAACAGGTGACGAACGGGGATATTGAAATGTAGACGAATTTTTTCTTCGTTAAATTTCAGGTACTTCGGATGGAGGTGGATTTTGGATCGAGGCTCAGCCTTTCTAAGTAAAGCTCATTTGTTCTCAAACAATTTGAAATGAATAAGTTATTAAGCAAGAAATAAAATTGCACTACAATTTTTACCTTCCTCTTTCTAGGGCTATAACTTCCTTCATATTCGAGCTTTTGCGCCGAAGTGATTTGATTTGGAAAATTCAAATTATTCTCTTTCATGACTGAATTTTCTTCCAAAGTTAATTTAACACATTGACGACAACGCGGGGGATATATATCCCGCGCATTGCAGGCCATGTCGGACCGTGCGGGATATATATCCCCCGCACCCATTACACTCATTTTTTTCGCGCACGCCTGATTCTTTTAGAAGTTTCTTGTATTCATTCCATGGAAGAGACCTTGACGTAGCTACAAACATAGTGGCCCTTAGAATGGTCACGTATGCTTTAATTTAGAGGAGGATTTCTGAACCATACGAAATCTTCATTTCAATAAATTTTTCGTTTACTTTTTCTTTTTATGAATGTGAAGATTTAAATAGTAGTAGAAGTAGATAAGGAACCTTAGGGATGACAATATGTGTGTTTTGATTGGAATAATCAACGTAAAATTGCTTTTGAGGTCCATTGCAGCTAGTTCTGAAAAATTTCGCTTTTTCATTGTATTCCATGTCTTTCGATCGAAATTCCACTACTGTACCCCTGGTAG